AAGAGTAAAATTACTCATTCCATTGGCAAATTACCTCATTTACCTACTCAAATTAAGGGTAAATACACTTAATTTAAGAAAATTTTACTTATTTCTAAATCGTTTTTCCAGTGTAGATTTAGATAGATGGACATTCTTTTGCAGTGTAATTTCTAAAACATAATTTAGGGTTATTTGGCCAAAATAAAAGCCAGTTAAGGTTTCCCAGAAGTTGGTGCAATAGTTTGTTTTTTGGCATCATTTTCCCAACAAATGACTCCCAAATTTCTCCCAATCTGGAGAGTTAATTTATCAACAAAAACTGATCTTAAAAATAAGTAAAGACTTTCTAAAATAAGTCCTTTAATTTGAGCAGGTGAGAAGTGTTTTTCCCTTAAAATAAGATAATCGGGGATATAATACATTAGAATTAAATAATAAAGTTGCTTGTATCTTATTCTAAATGTAAGTCACTTTTTCCCCACTTGTAAATTGTCCTATTTATCAGCTCAAATCAAGAAAAAAAACACTTATTCCATGAAATTGTCTTAATTATACTTCAGTTTTTCCAAAGCAGTGTCAACAATAAAGTGAACCAAACAGACATTGTTTGTTTCAAACAAACGTTCCCATTTTTTATGTGTTTATCAACCGTGCAATACAGTGGATGTGTGGTTTTATTGGTTTTATTGCATCGGTTAAATGTTGTGTCTTGTTCCCAGAGAAAAGCAGATATAAAAGAGCTAAGAAAACTAGAAAGAACAAACATTTTAGGTCGTATCTAATAGGGATTATAGTTAAACTTGACAGAAACTCTACTGTCATAATTTATAATGGGGTGGAGAAAGTGAGACATGATCTGGTGATTCATTTTGCACACCTCGCCAGATTATTCACAAGGCACTTTCCAGTTCACCAGATCATCCAGTCACATTGATTTAAAGTTTTCTATCTAAGAAAAACCAGTTGATTGCATCGACTCGAAGGCAATCCCTCATGCAAAGCATGCTTGCAGCGACAGTGGAGAGGAAAAACTCCCTTTTAACAGGAAGAAACCTCCAGCAGAACCAGGCTCAGTGTGATATCATGACCTCCAGACTCTACCTGGGCGTGTGGGCCAGAGTGAAGCGTCGTCTCTGCAGGTTGATGCTGCGGTTCATCAGCAGTTTCCTGAAGAGCAGCGGCGAGTTTCGAGGAGACCCACGTGGGGAGTCTTTGGGCGACCCCTTTGGGGATCCTGCAGTCGAACAGGTTTTGGACCTCGGGAGGAGCTGAATGATTGGCAGCCGGGCCTGCCCCTGTTTCCATGGCATCTCATCGCCTTCAGCCTGCTCCTCTTCAGAGCTCTCAGAGCACAGCTCACTCATGGTCAGCTGTCAGCTACACCCTTTACTGATAAGCTCTAAGTGCTAATTTTTCTAGCTCCTTCTGCTATGCGGAACTCTTTCTGATGCTTTCGTTCCTTCCTTTGAAAGTCCAGGGAAGACTTTGTGCCTCATGGTCAACGTTAAACCAAATCATATTCCATCCTTAATCAGCTCACAGAAACTTTGCAAATACAAAAAAAAAATAAAAACTCAAAAAGAAGCTGAAACTTTCCAATGATCTAAGTTTATCAGACGGCCCCTGATAGTCTCCTAATGACCAGCATCACAGCTCTACTGGGCAAAGGACTGAAATGTTGGTGTTGATGTAGTCTCTCTGTCTCCCACCCCCAGGCTTTGTTTACATTACCGATAGGCCTTCCCTCTCTCCAACTAAATATGGATGTCTGATTTACCATGAAGGGGAGCCATGATAGAGCAGCTCCCTCTGCTTCTCTTCCCCTTCATTCCAAACCCTCTGACATCCCTGCTTCCGTCATTTGTAAGCATAAGGAGCAGATTTTTCATCAGCTTTAAAGCGGCGTCCCGTTATTACTTCCTTTCACTGCTTAGAACTCACCTTCGTCTCTGCCAACCTGTCTAACTTTTTTTTTTCTCCCCCGATCTGCTCCCTGGGGTGCTATTTGTTGTGAAGCTGCCTATTTCCTCATGCTTTTCACATGCTCTGAGTGCATCGGGAGGAGTCACATGAACGGCCTCTGACTATAAAAAGCAGAGGTAGATAAAAGCTCTGGAGAGCATGGGTGCTGTCACGATGGCGCTCTCTATCTGTGACTGGAGGCAGCCTTTTTTTTTGTTTATGGAAGAGGGGGGGCTGGGGAAGAAAAGCCCCTCCTGTGATGAAGGATTTGCAGCCAAACACCAACGCAGTCTAGGGAAACTGTGATAATCTAAGGAGCTGAAACATCTGACAGAGGAGTCAACTCTTAATAAAATTGAAATTGATCGGTGTGTCTAACATCCCTCTTTTATGGAATTCCAATTATTTTAAGAATAGAAA